TATATATATATATATATATATATATATATATATATATATAAATCACATGAAAGTAACTACGGTATATAATATACATACATACATACTTACATACATATATATATATATATATATATATATATATATATATTTCACAGTAAATTAAAGTTGCTGCATAGACAGATGTGTATATAAAATATAAAGTAAATAAAAGTCAAACAAAGTTCTGTATCTGTCTCAAAATAACATATTTATTATACTAATATAATTATACTAATTACACTTGAATTTGTCTTTTTTTATCTTCATTTGGAGAAATAATTACTGAATATGAATACGATGTTTATTCTCATCTCACCTAGCCTATTGTTTTTAATCATGCTGGCATAACTCTCACTTTATACTATCTCGCTTTTTCTATTCTCACTCACTCGCCACTGAGGACTAGTGGTTCGAAAGCTCTGGTTCTATTTTTTCTGGCTGATTACTTACGTTTACTTTTTAGCAGTGGCTTATCAAAATTGTATCTTTACCGTGATCCAGGAATTGTTTTCCACAACATTGTATATATGCTGTCTCTTATACACATGGTGTGGGTGTGTGGGGGTGTATGTGTGCATGTATGTATGTAGGACTATGTATGTATATAATATTAGATATTAAAGAGGCCTATTACAATATGCAACCGAAATTTGCGAAATACTCACGTTAATATAATGATAGTACTATCACGCTGTTATACTTTAAACCAGTTGTTCTCTACTATATCGCAATAGGGGCCAAATTCTTCATTGAATAAATTTGAAGGGCCAGGGCAAGATGTGTATTTTGGCGCGTAGAGCCATCCGATAGCCGTAGGCGTGAGCTGGGGGAGAGTTGGAAGGGGTAGGGGGTGTCTCCCTCTCCCAAATTAGGAGTTTTAAAAAATTAATTAGTCGCTAGATGCTCATACCGGACACCTTGACCTAAGAAAGTTACCCTTGTGTTTGGCAATGCAAAAGTCAAAATGTTATAAATCACACAATTAGTCACCAGTAGGCCCAATACAAACACTTTTAATGATATATGAACGTAGTAGGCCCTGTCATCTTACATTGTTACAATCATGATCTTGCCTGCTTGGTAACTGAAATTAGACGATTAGACTTTGATGCTTGTGACAGTTTTTTGAAGTCCAGTTTAACTGAAAATATTATTTTCGGCTTCTCTCTCGCGGGAAACACGCACTCGCGGGAAACACGCACTCGCGGGCCGGAGATGGTCCGCAGACGGCCAGATGAGAATCCCTGGTTTAAACTATTTTAACAGGAACTGTCACAAAGCTTCATCACATAGTAACTAACTTCGTGCCACTGGTATAAAAAATATTCTATTTGGATTTCCTAGTCTTGTAATGACCATATATTATTCAGTATGCATAACTTCTCGATATGAGTCACAGCTGACGAATAGGCCTATGCAGCTGGGGCGGATGTAGTGGGAATGGGGGTGCATACGGTGCAATCTCCCCCTCCCCTAAATTGTATTAAGAGAAATAATTCTTGTATTGTATTGTTGATTAGAACATAGACCTATAGGCCTAGTACCGGTAAGATTTTTAAGGTATGGGAGTGCAATTTCCCGCCATCTAGAGGTCCATATTCTCAAAATTGTCTCACTTTAGCCCAATAAAGGTGGGGCTGAGGTGGTGTCGACTCTTACGCACCCCCTACTGCCAAATCCTGCATCCGCCACACTATAGTACAATATGTATCAAGCATAACACTCAGAATTTCACAAGAGAATTTATTGAGACTTCATTAAACACCCAAATTAAGATTGATTCTATCACTAATTTTTTTTCATCTATTAAACTTTCAAATTACTTTCATTTTGCCGATTTAACGGAAGTTGGACGGGTGTCATTCTCTATTAATTTAGCGTAACCTTCAGAATACCAAAAACCATCCTCTTAGTACAGAAACAATTATGTGCCACAGAATTAATTTTGTATACCTATTATATATGTATTTATATAAAGGCCTATAATAAATATCGGACCGCAGAATTATTTCCGGGTAACTATCTGTACGGAATTCTGTATTAACAGAACTAAATCAAGCACCACAGATTTTTTCATGTAAAACTATTTTGTTTACAGAATTATTTCTCTGTAAATTTTATCATTGATTGCATTTGAGCTGATTGAGGTTTTATTAAAGTCCTTGTATATTACATAGGAAGGTGCATGCCGAGGGCCTTAACGGATTACTTAAGATGATTACTTAAGATTGCACATAATGGACAGTATGTATAGCGTCAAACGTTCAGAAATAGGTCTATGTTACTGGAAGAAGTGATAGTTATTGTTGAATTACCTGTTTACCATAATTTTAGCAAAGAAATTATTGCCGCTATATGATCAACTATTCCCCATTGCTTTACTTGTTGACCAACAGCAGATGATTCGTAGTTACTTCGCATTACACTACCGATTTCCTGTTCTAATGTTTTCTTTACGTAATTGATATCTTGCTTGAGCATTTCGACAGTCATTTTCAATTCAGTACGCTTTTCGCGTCCCTCGTCCAATTGTTCTGCTATATTTTCCATGATTTCACTGATCTTTTTAATATTGTGGTTATAGTCGGCACCTTTTGTAATATCACTCTCACGAAGAATGTTTAGATACAGCGTGTTCTCTTTCAGTTTGTTTTCCAATTCATTTAGCTTATCATCTTGACTTTTTAGACTCTGCTTTAATTGTTTCATATTTTCATCTCTCCATGCCCCTATCGTTTGGTAGGCAACAAAAATTGAACTTAGGCCAACGACAAGGATAAGAATTAAGGTAGTTTCCATAGTGCTGTTTGCAACGTCTGTATTTTGTAGTGAATCTGATGAAATCTGAATGAAATACGGTACACAAATACATTATATTAGTTATTATAAAAAGATAAAAGGAAGAGTCGAATTTCAAATTTATGAATCCCAAAAATACGAAAAAATACATAATCGTGCATGATCGCAGATCTGTTTTGAAAGTTTACTCGTTGCGAAGACCTCTTTGTCAGCCAGGCATTTATTACATTATTTATCAAGAAAAACAAAGAATAGGAAAAGAAGGGCCTTTAATAACAAATATTCTTAAAATATTGAAGACAAAGAGACAAGCAATACACATTTGTTGTTTGTCTAGAGTCTGAATAACAACTTTAATTACTGTGTTTAACCTGAGCAGCTTTAATAGGCAATGCAACCTAGTTAAAGGGAATACTGTTAATGGGGAAGGATAAACATTTTTTGTAAAATTAATTATTCCATACTTGTGGGGACGGCGTAATTTACAGCAATATTTATTGATTCTGGCCAGAATTCTTTTGTTAAGCAAACATCTACTCTTTTCGTAATAACTTAATCGTATCCGTGTGGATCCTGTAGACCTATGGTGTTTACTAGCATCCCTCCCACCAACGATGGATGATTAACGGATAAAAGTCGGTAGGCCTACTGTTCAGTGCATAGCTCTTGGAGCGGCAACTGCTGTAACTCGTATTATAGCCTATGTTTACGACTTGGACTAAGGCCCCATTCAACCGTGCCTAAATAGGGCCTACGTTAATTGAAGTAATAGTGATTTTTTTTATTGCGCCTTTAGCATACAGTATGTTATTTGTTAGAAACCGAAATTCAACTTGCGTTAAGATATAAATTGTACTATACAGGCTGCTGAACCGTATATTTCGACAGTTACAGCTGTGACAATCTCAGAGTCCATCGTGGATATTGGCCGATTTTACACAAATTTGAGGTGCTGATTTGTATCTTTAGGGCTAATATTATTTCCTGCTTTAATGCAGATAGAATAATTAAATAAACGCTTGCACTGGGGTTTAACCGCTGTATGTATGCTAGTAATGTGTATTATGCGCTTTACAACCCATCTAAGGCCTATTATTATGTTTTATTATTATGTTATTGTGTTGATTGTGTTCATTCACCTTCATCTCACAGATCAATACACAATCGATTAACACCGTATTACTGTTATAAATGAATATTTGGAATTTCCATGATTAACAAAATTACAAAAAAAAGGGGGAAAAAAACACTTTTCATCAATAACCCTATTAAAGCAGACACTTTTGGGACTAAAATAGTGTCCCCTTAATAGGGTATCTCCTAAATAGGGGTACCCCTAATCAGGCCACACTAATTTGGCATGTTTTCATACAACGATGACATAGATTCTTTATAATTTTATTTTTATTCACATGAGAATTAATTACAGTAGAATTAGAAATAATTTCTAGTAATAATTTGCGGTGTAAATTCAATTTATAATATGAAATCAGCAGAAATGCAACAATAGTTGAATATGTTCCCAATACTATTTCTCCTTTAGAGAGGTTATTTGACCATTTGACTTAGAAAGTATCAAGTCAGGAGCGGATCCAGTAGGGGAACGTGCGCCCCCCCCCCCCGTTTTGTCAAGGAGAGTATTATACAAATAGACGATAAAGATACAGTACAAGCGTAAGTCTAATCCTCAGACACTTTCTCTCATAGTTAACTCTCTTTCAAGCTTACAAATAAGGGAGCTAATGTTAGGCTTGAACATCTTAAATCTCACCAGCTAGGAAATCATAATTTATTTAATAGATACCTCTACTTCAATGCGTGTCAAAAATCTGGGCAACATCTGGACGAGGATGCTGACACGCCGACAGCCAGCTGTGCCAGTGCAATAATAACACTAATTTTTAATTATTAGTTGCATACTGTAAACCCAAAATTATCCTCGAAAAAAAGCCCATCTGGAAAGGAAGTTATTTATTTATATATAATATATAGGTCTATATATAATTATGCAACCAAAATTCTACTCACGTTAAGATATATTGATTGTACACACTCATTAAAAC